GAGGTGTGGACGAGGGTGAGGAGGGGAAGGGGAGTGGGTGAGGTGTGGACGAGGGTGAGGAGGGGAAGGGGAGTGGGTGAGGGGTGGACGAGGGTGAGGAAGGGAAGGGGAGTGGGTGAGGTGTGGACGAGGGTGAGGAAGGGAAGGAGAGGGGGTGAGGTGTGGACGAGGGTGAGGGGAAGATATTCTTTGGAGTTTTGGAAGGTGGCGAAGAAAACACGTACAAGAAAAAAAATGTGATGGACTGAAAGGAAAGATGTCGGTGACAAGCACACACAGGGACAGACAGAATATGTTGATCTATATGCAAGGACATCCAACAGAACAAAACAAACAAACAAAACTATTACGTTTAAAAAAATCCAACCCAAAGAACACATTATGAAAACAAAACAACAAACGAAGCACAACCAATCGTGAATATGTAAATTAGAATAGAAATAAATGAATGAGTAAACAGATAAATCAATAAATACGTAAAATGCATATAAAAATGCGTTCATAAAAGCTCAAATAAATGCATAAATATAGAAGAAATAACAGGCCTCCTGGGATGAGCAACGGGAAGGTGAGAGGATGGGCGTAAGGTGAGACCCACTGGGGTGGGGTGAGAGGATGGGCGTAAGGTGAGACCCACTGGGGTGGGGTGAGAGGATGGGCGTAAAGTGAGACTCACTGGGGTGGGGGGAGAGAATGGGCGTAAGGTGAGACTCACTGTGGTGGGGGGAAAGAATGGGTGTAAGGTGAGACCCACTGGGGTGGGGTGAGAGGATGGGCGTAAGGTGAGACTTACTGTGGTGGGGGGAGAGAATGGGTGTAAGGTGAGACCCACTGGGGTGGGGAGAGAGAATGGGCGTAAGGTGAGACTCACTGTGGTGGGGGGAGAGAATGGGTGTAAGGTGAGACCCACTGGGGTGGGGAGAGAGAATGGGCGTAAGGTGAGACTCACTGTGGTGGGGGGAGAGAATGGGTGTAAGGTGAGACCCACTGGGGTGGGATGAGGGAATGGGGCGGGGCTATGGAAGTAAGACGCCATGGCTATATATAGACATCAGAGCTATAAAAGGAATCAACTAGGTGAAGAGAGTGAGCTCATCGCACTAGGAGATGCAAAATGCCGACTGGGAGTGGAGCAAGCTACGGTCTACAGAATAAGGTGGCGGGCGGCTGGAGGGTGACCCGTGCGGGAGAAAGG